ATGGTTAGTGTTGTGGACTTTGGCCTGATGAGTACAATAGGATTTCAAGGCTGTACTACTGCCAAGGAGATTTGGGACACTTTACAAGTGGCTCATGAAGGAACACCTCAGGTGAAGAGGTCAAGAGGAACACTGCTGTATTCTCAATATGAGAATTTTACTATGAAGGATGGAGAAACTATCCAAGAAATGTATACCAGGTTCACTACACTGACAAATGAACTTGAGTCTCTTGGAAGGATTATCCTGGAAGAAGACAAGGTGGAGAAGATTCTAACTAGAGTTCTGCCAATCTCCTGGGAAAGCAAAATCACTGCCATTCAGGAATCCAAGAACATTGCTACTTTAAAGTTGGATGAACTGATTGGAAATCTCACTGCCTATGAATTGAGAAGGCAAACAATGAAGATGGATGCTCCAAAGAATGAAAGAAGTCTGGCTCTCAGAATTTCAGAAGGATCAGATCTTGAAGATGATGAAATGGCTATGATAACCAGAGATTTCAAGAAATATCTTATGAGAAGAAAGGGTGCTTTAAAAGGAACAACATTCAGCAAACCTAGGGCTCCTGAGAAACAAACCAATGAGGGGTGTTACAAGTGTGGGAAGACTGATCACCACATCAGAAACTGCCCTTAATGGGAGATTGAATGGAAGAAAGAAAGAGCAGAAAGAAGAAACAGGAAGAAGGAACAGGTTCAACCAAAAGGAAACAAAGGTTCAACTAAGGCTATGGTTGCTGCTTGGGGAGAAACATCAGATGAGGACTCTGAAGATGAAGCTGAGGAGGATCAAGCTCTAATGGCCATCGGAGAATCAGAAGATGAACAGGAGGTAAGTATTCTACACCTTAAAGAAAAGATTAAGTTCTTGTCTAAAAAAAAAAACTGGTCGATCTGCTGATGGACTTCATAGATGAGTCTGAAATAATAAACAGTGAGAAGGATGTTCTGTCTAAGGAATGTGTTATCCTAGAAGAAAAATGTAAAAGGTTAGAGTCTAGGGATGATGAGAGTGACAACACAAATACTGAGTTGAAGAACCAGGTTCATCAACTTGAAAATAAGATTCTAGAACTTAGATCTGAAAATATTAAACTGAAATTAGGAACAGGAAAGAAAAGGGCTGATCAATCATTTCTCACCCTAGAAGAAAATCTAGGAAAAATGAAAGATGAACTGTACAAGAAAGATGAATTGATTGAAGTCCTAAAAGAAGATTTAGGAAAGGTAAAGCATGAACTAGACAGAACATGCAAATGGAACAAGGCTTCTGATGCACTCTCCTGGCTGCAAGAACATCATAGTAGCAACAAGAGAGGACTTGGATTTGGGACACAAGCTCCAAAATGGGATCCCAAAAACAAGTATCACACACTTCCTGAGAATAAGATCTGCACACACTGTGGTAATACTGGCCATTACAAAAATGAATGTAATGTAAGAGAGAAGGCCAGTCAAAAGAACAAAGCCTTTGTTCAAGAAAAGCACAAACTGCCTGGTTGGGCAAAGAAAAATTTAATTCATCCTTTTGCCTATAGAAAGGGACCCAAACTAGTTTGGGTTCCTAAGACTAACCCATGATTTCTTTTTGCAGGACCAAGTGAAGGGAAGTAGCCAAATATGGTACATGGATAGTGGCTGCTCAAAACATATGACTGGTAACAAGAACCAGTTCCTTTCACTTGAGAACCTAAAAGGAGGTAATGTCTCCTTTGGAAATGGAAAGAAAGGTGAGATCATTGGTGTTGGAAAGGTAGGAAAGACAGACTCTCATTCCATTGAGAATGTCTATTTGATAGATGGCTTAAAATATAGCTTGATAAGTGTGTCACAACTGTGTGACAGAGGTAACCTTATGGCTTTCACTTCCACAAAATGTTTTGTGATTAGCCTTACTACTGACAAGATTGTTTTGCAGGGAAGGAGAGTTAACAATATTTACATTGTAGATCTGTCAACTCTCTCTGAAAATGAACTAACTTGCTTGAGTGT